CATCTGTACCGGCCACATTCCGGTACTAAATTCAATATATATTTAAATATATCTACTTTATGTTGATGCCTATTATCATTGTTGACATTTAATTGTAAATGTATGACGGGAGAAGGCTGTGATAAATTGTAAAAACTTGTGCCCCATCCCTTGTTTAATTTTATTGGCAACACATTTATGTTTAAAGCTAAATAAATTTAAATTCTGAATATTGGCAAGTGTGCAATTAACTTCTAATGATGAATAATTACTGTTCAATAAGTTTGACTACGGACTTAGAAATCATATAACTTAATTTCATAGTGCGGTAAGAAGTTGCAGTTGCCTGACGGCCCCTCTCTGGGGGCCCCTTTGGAAACCCGTTTCATCTCGCTCGCACCACTTGTGTTTACTGCCTAGTCAGGTGACGTTATCGGCGCTATTTTTAGCAGGGCTTTCCCGAACAATTCAAGCGGTCAAACTGGACATTTGGAACGGACTATGAATATGGGGACAGCGTGGTAACATAAGTGAAAGTGCATACAATACATACATTCATTTTAGAAAAAACGCCTTTTCACGTGATGTCCCTTTAAATGCTATCATGTAAATATCAATATGCATTGTATTAGAGGAAAAGGCGTTGATAAGTTGATATAACTTGCAATTGTGTCTAATGCTCTGCTCAAATGTAAACAAAGGGCAATAACTCTGTATATAGTGGGGCATGTGACTTGATTTTAGTATTAGTATGTGATAGTCTGCCATCCAAATGGTAATTGCAGGGTGAAAAGATTAAATGAGATGTACCTGGACAATGTAGTGATGTACAGACTAAAGGAAACACAGACTGACAGATGCAGTGCCAACCTATAGTCACCTCCTGTGGTGGTGGTGGTGGTGGTGGCGGTGGTAGGGGGAGGGGGGGATGCTAATAAAAACTTGAAAACCAAACAGGCAATAATGGGATTTTGTGTACCGGCATGTGTCTGTAAGATGGTGTGGTAGAGCCTGTGTGATTCTAACACAGATAGACAAACATGACACATATGTAAGTGTCTCTAAATTTCCAGCCTGGGTTTTAATGCTGGCTTTATGTCCAACCCCTATAATTACATGGCCGTGGTAATTGTGTTTGGGCAGGTAACCATATTAGCTAGTACCATATCTTGTCTGATGGACAGGCTACTGTGTTCTACTGCCTGTGTGGCTGAGCTATTACTTTCTACATGAAATAAAACCTACAATTTGTCAGGTTGAACAAATCAATAGTTAGAGAGATACATCGTACCTTCAGACCTTCAGACACTGGAAGTGAATTCACCGAAATTGTGTAACTAATACAGAATGATTACTTTTTGCAAATCTAAAGTAATTGAAACACTTGAAATGTGCATGTATTGTAACCATTAAGGCCCTTTTAACATTTCCCAAATCTTTATAAATGAGTAAACATTCCTGTAACTCCTGATTGAAAAATTCTTTTCCATGGCATTTAAATCTCAAAAAGTTGGATTGAATCGGCAGCATCTGTGATGAGAGTATTGACCAAGAAGAGATTTCAACTAATTTAAGGCAGGCTGTATCCAATTATTTCAACCAAAACAACATAGATGTTGATTTAAACAGTGCAAGATATATTTCCAAGGGTGAAGCACCTAGACCAAACTTTGTTAATTGACAATATCAAAGTACCAGGATTGTTTTACAGTATTAGTCAAACATTTTTCAACTTTCCCTGATCAATATCGGGTGAGATTTTTTGTATATATGAATACTACGTTGAAAGCTACTGCACTTATTTCCTTATGACTTGAGGTCGTGAAATGATGTCAGAGATGCCTAAGCTTGTATAGTTGTCTTTGTCATGTCTGTTGCACATTTACCAGTGATTTGTGTTAAAGGTAAGGATACAATGCACAATTAACCAAGTAATCAATATAGTCATAGTTAGAGAAAACTGTCTACAAGGGAATCAATATAGATATAATTAGAGAAAACTGTCTACCAGGGAATCAATATAGACATAGTTAGAGAAAACTGCCTACAAGGGAATCAATATATATATAGTTAGAGAAAACTGTCTACAGGGAATCAATATAGACATAGTTAGAGAAAACTGTCTACAAGGGAATCAATATATATATAGGTATAGAAAACTCCCTACAAGGGAATCAATATAGACATAGTTAGAGAAAACTGCATACAAGGGAATCAATATAGACATAGTTAGAGAAAACTGCATACAAGGGAATCAATATANTAGACATAGTTAGAGAAAACTGTCTACAAGGGAATCAATATAGACATAGTTAGAGAAAACTGTCTACAAGGGAATCAATATAGACATAGTTAGAGAAAATTGTTTAATTGGCAAGTATTTCCACTAGCATCAGTATACTGACACATATATTCAAAGGAAAAGAGTAGGATGACAAGAAAGGAGAGTAGGATGACAAGAAAGGAGAGTAGGATGACAAGAAAGGAGAGTAGGATGACAAGAAAGGAGAGTAGGATGACAAGAAAGGAGAGTAGGATGACAAGAAAGGAGAGTAGGAT